AAAGGATCCCATTGTTGCTGAAGCAATGACACAACTACGTCAGATGTTAATCCTTACTGGGAAAATCTGTAAGCAGTTCCTTAATTCTTGACTAAGCATTCTGATGAGGCTCCAGTCACCGAATCCATAAAAAGATATTTTTTTTTTTTAAATAATAATCATATGAATACTATTTTGTACTCCAAACCAAATGAACACAAGACACCTCTGTTTCAGTTTTGAAGGGCTTTAAGGTTTTCACATGGGAATTTCCACCTACAGATTTCTAAAATTCTAAACATACAGCATTAAAATAAACATTTTCAGGCTCTTTTTGCCCGAGAGAAACTTTCCCATAGTGGTTCTTTACAAGAGCAGACCGCAGCACTCAACAGCAGCTCTTAAACATAAGATGGGCAGTGCCTTTTCCAGAAAGGCTCAGCCAGAAAAAGTTGACACGTTTGAAATAAGAAAATTTTTATTGTAAAATCTTTACAGGGTAGTTTAGTTTGGGAATAAACTAATATATCTGGCTCTGGAAAGGGCATTTATATGGAAATATAAATCACTTTCAGATCCAAAGACAGATTATTATGGAGCTTTGTTTTCAGACTAGGGCTTTAAAACCTGAGCGAGGCAATTGTGTTTTCCCAAGTTCAGTGGGATTTTAGGGGGACCCAGGAGTTGCTTTTTTTTCTTTTTTCTCCTCCTCCCCTCCTTTAAACCATTGCACGCTATGGGTGCAGCCACAGCACCCTGAACTACAAGCTCGCCTTATTTCACAGCTCCGGCTGGATGGCAGGTTTGATCACTTACGCTCCTGCGAAACCTCAAGAGAAAACCGCCTGGTAGGGGAAGCGGGTAAATGACGTTTCCTTCCATCAGAGGCACGGTTTGGTCTTAAGAAAACTGAACACCGTCCTTCAGAACTGAAACAACCAAATCTGGGATCACAGCTGACAACGAACCATTTCATCTTACTTCTCATTAGAGAGGAGGCTTGGTAAAGCGGGAAAGAACAACCGCCCATTAACATCTGTGTTTTCAAAACTGAACAACGATGGCGTAATATTATAAGTGTGTAATGCTGGATTTCAGTCCAGGCCACATTCTAACGCCACTCACGACGGTGATGACAACCTACCGATGCTAAAAGTCACCAGCTCCAAAAGCAAGCGGCATTTCAGCTATGAAGAGAGAGAGGTATATTAACGGTAATTACACTGAATACTCTGGACTGAGTGGGGAAACGAAGCGACTGCAACACAAGAGGAGATTTTTTTCCGTATAATCTGTTGTCTGTGGGAAAGAGCAAAGGCATGCCTTGATAAACACAATTCCTCTGTTTCATCCTGGACAGGTGCTGTTATTGAAAGATTTCTCGGCGGTTCACCCAGAGAACTTGATGCCAGCTATTACAGCAATCACCGTTAAAAAGCGATGAACAAAAATTGCCATTTCAGCACCCAATTTCACTCACTCCTATCCACCTTCAATAAATTCATTCATGTCTTGGATATGATTTTAGAAAGCTTAAACTACATTCCTTCAGTTATTTTTGTTTTATGGGAGAACTAAATGCACAGATATTTACATCATGTTGTGTGAATACATTAATGTTGTAATTTAACTTTCTTTTTTGCCAATACAGAATTCCAAATCTATAATATGAAGTGTTATTTATCTTTGTCCTGACAATCTTGATCCCTAGGAAAGGATTTGCCTTGATTTCTTTACTGCCTTAAGTTTTACGCCAAATAATCTGCAGTTGGCAGTGCTTCAAACTGAAAGATACCAATATGTTTGGCCAGTTATACACTTGCATGGTTCATTTATACGAGAATTTCTAAATGAATTTGAATGGCAGAGACTACCAGCTGATGAAAGGCACTTCATTTTAATTAGTCATACTTATTTTACCACTTTTAAAGGAAAATAGTTTAAGAGATCTAGACTGCCACAAAGGATTAATTTGTTTTTACAAAAAAGGTCTTTTTTTCCCTTGAAAA